AAGAAGAGAAGAGATGATCAGGAATCTGAAAGAAAATCTAAATAAGGCTCAATCAAGAATGAAGCAATTGGCTGATAAAAGAAGAACTGAAAGGATATTTGCTAGAGGAGATTGGGTGTGGCTGAAGCTGCAGGCTTACAGGCAGCAATCTGTACACATAAGGAACAATCAGAAGTTGTCTCCTAAGTTCTTTGGTCCATTTCAGATTGAAGAAATTATAGGGAAAGTGGCCTATAAATTGAAATTGCCTGCAGATTCTCGAATACATGATGTTTTTCATGTGTCCCAGCTCAAGAAATTCAGAGGTAAACTACCCATGGCTACTCATATTCCAGCTTGGTTTAAAGGACAACCTGCAGAGGTACTACCTCAACCAGAAAAGATTTTGAATAGAAGGAGTGTTAAATTTCAGAACAAAGTGCAAGTGCAAGTACTGGTGCAATGGAAGGGGTTCCTGGCTGAGGAAGCATCTTGGGAAACAGTTCAATCTATTATTGAGCAATATCCTGACTTTGACATCAATGATTCAAGTGATTGACTTGAGGACAAGTCTAATCTTCTAAGGAGGAAGGATTGTTGCAGGAGCTTTGACCTTGAAAATAATAGCTAGCAATTGGTGTTGACCATTTTACTTTCTGTTAATAAGTTTGTTAGAAGTCGGTTAACAGAAGTTAGACCCGTCATGTATAAATAAACCATTGAACAATGAATAAAGCAGTCTGATTACAATCTTGAATACTTTCTTCTATTTCTAGCACAATCTCTTAACAATGGAGTTAGGCTCTTGTTAAGTGGATTTACTGTTACACACTCCGAACCCGCATTCTACCTAAGGTTTATTCTTGGACTTAAAGGTAGAATATACATACCCATCCCAAACAGTCCCACGCTCAGGCCCAACCGAGCGGCCGCAGTCTAATGCGCATATGGAACCCCTCATTTCGAGAGATTGATCTCACAATGCGGCTAGTGAGATTTGATCTTAAATTATTTGTGCCAAATTAAACTTCACTCTTGTAACTAATTGAGACTTTGTGGGAACATAAAGTTTGTTCTGATTAACCCATAGTGCGCGCAATAGTCTACCCATCACAGGATAGAAACAAATGACAATTTATTACGGAGTAAAACTTTGTGCGATCTATTTGTTAGTTTAATAACAAAAGGATTTATTGAACTTGAAAGGGAGTGGTGAGGGCCTGGGAATTAGGATGCCCTACGGGCTACAGCCCTGTCGATTATGGTACTTTCTTTGTTGTATTAAAATTAAATTCAGTCAATCATATTGGCTAAAAATAATGTCATGTTTCCTATTCTTCGAGGAATAATTTGTAAAATTGGCAGAGGGATCGAATGATGACTCTGAGAAATTTAAAAAAATCGATTAAGATGCCTTCAACATGACATGATTCCCCATTGTTTAACCGCATATATATGTTCCTAGGCGTGTAAGATATCATTGAAAAAGAAAAGAATACGTCCCAAATAATGTTTTATTTTCTTGTATTGGAAGCAAAGTTTTTTCACTTCTATCATAGGGGAGAATCAATCAACTTTTGCCTTTTTCCATATTTAATGAATTATAGTCTTTTTAATGTATAGATATATTGATATTGATAAGCGCACAATAGAAATAGTAAGGCAATGAGTACTTGCTATTGCAAAAAAAGAAGCTATACATTTTTATACATCAAAGTACTAAACCAATGTATACAATTAGCTGAATATACCAACCCCTATTTATCACAAAGTTTCCATATGCGACTCTTTTTTTAGACGGTGTAAGGGGAGGGTGTTGGGGGAAGGCTAAGGTAAACCGGACTGAAACTTCTTCCATGAAGTATAGGACTCAAGATCTCTCATATGAGAGAGTGAGTTGACGACCAATTATGCTGGACCACTTCTTCACATGTGATACTTATCTATATTATTATCTCTAATGCAAAAGTGTGAATGCTGCACACGAGCTAAAAGAGATCTAGAAAGATAAAAATGAGTGACTGTCACTTTAATTCACTTTAATTTCTTTTGTGTGTTTCAGGTTCTTAGGAAATTTGTATACTCAATTAAGAAGTTATAGCTTCACCAAATTTAATGTTGCAATTTTTGTTCAACTCTTTTTCATTGCAATTTTTTGAGAAACTATCTTAATTCAACAAAATATACTCGTAAGTGATCTTTTAAATGCACAAAAGATTTTAAAATAGGATGTTTATTTTATTTAGTGGGACGGAGAGGAAAATGTTTGTGAGTATAATTTTTTACAAAATCGAATACTCACAAGTATTAGAAAGTGTTCAGTTTAGAAAAATATTGGAACGAATAGGAAACAAATACGAACAAGAAAAATAGAGGGGGCGAGGACTCGGAGAGGGTGATGTTCGAATATTTGGGGCATCAGAAAGATCAAAAGTCACGTGGCCAGAAGGGGCTGATGTCTGAGAAAGAGCATGTGAGGAAAATTGGGAATAAAAATAATGAATATGGCATCTATCTAATGTATCTGACTATCCCCTCTTCTTGTACTTCGGTTTGTGTTTTCTAACGTACTACCATATTATATCTACCTTCCATCCAAGTGGACTCCCTTTCTATTTGGAAAGGAAGATTTGTAATTAACTAATTTGTATTCTTAATTTTTGTTTAAGACCGTTATTAATGGTAAAATTTTATTCTCTTATAAATTTGATCATATAACTAATGAGTTTCAGAGTTTGTGTGACGTTCTGACGTGAGGATTTCTCACCAGAAAGTACACATTCTGATCTAAAAGACTAAAATATATCAGAAAAAACATTGCATCACTAAATTTCTGTCGAAGAGTATAGTTTCGGTCGAAAATCTTTAAATAGCCAAGAGTAGTACATTACCAAGTTCGCAACCGAGTAGAGATACATGACTAATAATAGGGACACACCAAAAAATTACGAGGCTACAATTGTAAATATCTCTATTGAGATACATGACTAATAATAGGGACACCAAAAAAATATGAGACGACAATTGCTAATATCTCTATCTATGAGTGGTAAATTAAAATCTAAGGACTTGTTAACTTTTTATTATAGATATATAAAATGTCTTACACGATACTAGGCTGTTTTATTATCAAACTTGACGACCATACAAACAAATCAATACTCAAACAAGTAACATTAATAATGTAACTTGTAGTTTAAAGTTTAAACTGTCACATATAAGTAGGGATGGCAACGGGGCGGATCGGGGACGGTTTTACATATAACCGTACCCGCCCCGTTAGATAATTTCCCGCCCCGTAACCGCCCCATTACCCAACGGGTAATTTTTACTCAAAGCATAACCGCACCAACGGGTAACGGGTATATTTTTGGGTAACCGCGGGTAACCACTTTATTAAATGAGTTATTAAATTTTTGATATAAAAATAATTTTTTAAAAGGTGAAAAATGACATTGCCTAGACGACTTAAAACTTCAGAGCCACTTTAAAGATTCGTATATCTACAAGATGAGAAAGCAAACAACTTAAATTAATTTGAAACTAAAAATATTTAATCTAAAAAATAATTAATCACGAAAAATATGGTAATAATCAAACAATATTGTTAAAATCTATTAAGAACTTTCATTCCAATATATTTAGTACATCTATAATCTATATATACATAGTGGAAAGAGAAAAATCTCATATTTTAATAGTTGTGAGACAAATAATAGACAAAAATGTAATAAAAATATAACTAAAAATAAACGGGGCGGGTACGGGGCGGGTAATGGGGCGGGCATGTATAAAACCGTAACCGCCCCATTACCCGTAAAAACAAAACGGGTATTCCCCGCCCCGTACCCGACTACCCGTTACCCGGTCAAAGCGGTTTTCCCCATTTTGACCGGGGCGGTTCGGTGCGGGTATCCATCGGTTCGGTCACAAATGCCATCTCTACATATAAGATCGATAAATCTATTGGGTAACATGTTGTAAGAAGTTAAGCATGTCCGTAAGCGGTGTGTTGGTATGATTTGTTCAATAAATGCGGAAATGGTGTAATATCTATATGTTTAATGGATACGGATAGGGGTGGACCCGGGCCGGTTCGGGCCTGGGCCCGGCCGGGCCTCGGGCCAGAAAACTGGGGTCCGGGCCCAAACCGCCGGTGGCCGGTTCCGGTTCCGGGCCAAACCGGTCCATTTTTTTTTATTTTGGTTCTCCTATTTAACCCCCTACCCTCCCCTCAACCCCAAACCACCTCAAATGGCCCAAAATACCTAATCCAACCCAAAACTTAAAAAAAATTCAAAAAAAAAAATCCGGCCCGGACCCAAACCGGCCGGGCCGGTTCACCTAAAGCAGGGCCCGAGCCCGGACCGCCCATCACTCGGGCCGGGCCAAACCGAACCGATGGACCCACCGGGCCCCGGGCCGGTCCAAACAGTAACCGGGCCGGGCCGGTTCCGGGTCGGGCCGCCCGGCCCGAGTCCACCCCTAGATACGGAGTATGTCTTTTATTTCTTTTTATTATGTCATGTAATTATGAAGTTGTATCTAAAGAGATTGGTTAGCTGGCAGCCTGGCACCTGAAGCACTATTGGGGGGATTCATGAGACAATGAGATATTGATGCAAAAATAGCTTCCCGTAAGGATTATACGAAGTACTAGCTTTGGATTTAGCCATGTCTTTAGTGTTTTGTTGTCTTCAATATTACTACTTTGATGGTTATGTATCCTTTTTATGATTAATGTATCCTTTGATGGTTATGTATCCTTTTTATCATTAACTAGTCTTTCACCCGTGCGTTGCACGGGATTTCAAAGTATAGTAATGCACACACACATCTGGATATTACAAAAGTGTTACCAAATATTTAGAGTAGCCTATATCAGCACGTTTTAAATCTAGAGTTTCAGTGTTTAAGTATTTACTTGGTAATAATGTGAGGAAAAAATCATGCAAATGAAGTGTTAATGTCAATATAGGAAGAACAAAAGAAGCACTCACAGAAATACTTCTTGTTTTTTTGGAAAACGTTCAAACCATATTAGATCAAGCAATCATTGGCCAATTGGCTTACAATGCAATCAAACACCGTATAATAGGTGTCGTGACAGCCTAACAAAGAAATGCCTGCTCTATCAAGAATATGAGCAGCTCAATTCGTAGATCGTTTACAGTAGTCAATTTACAACAATGCTCTCATCAGAAAGCAACATCTGTCTAATATCATCAAGAATAATATCATAATAAGAAGAATAATATCTTAATAAGATAAATGGAGAATTTGACTTAGCACCCCACTTTTTGGGTGATATTTGACTTCGCACCCCATTTTCAAAAAACATTGACTTTGCACCACAAAACATATCATTTTGTGAAGAATAATTTCTAAATGGGGTGCAAAGTCAAAGAAATTTTAAGTGAAATGGGGTGCAAAGTCAAAGAAATTTTAAGTGAAATGGGGTGCAAAATCAAAGTTTTTTCAAAACGGGGTGCAAAGTCCAATATCACCCAAAAAGTGGGGTGCATAGTCAAATTCCCCCTAAGATAAACCCGACTCTCCCCAAATCCCAGTCACCACTAACAAAGCATATGTTTCAACAACCGTACATGACCAACCTTTCTCCTTTGCCCATAACATTGCTTCACGTACTTCCCGCGCCCCCGTTGGACATGAATAAACTGTTCATTCCCATCCTGTGCAATCCATACCCAAGCTCTAACTCCCGTCTGTTGATTGATTGCAGCATCCACGTTTACTTTAATCCACCCAACTCCCAGTTTCCCCCACTTTGCTCCCTCATGATTTGCGTTCCCTGTTATTTGTCTCTGTAGTTGTGCTTCACGCCAACCTCCCAAAGCTGCAGGTCCCACTACTATCACATTCCTAATGCAAAAATCTGCATTCTTCCAGACCTTGTTGTTTTGGTGTTTCCAAATGCTCCATAAGCACACTATAAATTTGCACAAATCCTCCTCTATTAGCTTCTCAAACATAACTTGCATCCACTTAGCAAAAGAAACAACTGGCCGCACAAACTGAGTGCGTAACTTAGATCAGATTTCTCTAGTTTATGGACGATTACAAAAAAGATGTAAAACATTCTCCTCCGCTTCGCTGCACACTGGACAATCTGCCAGCACATTTACCCGTCGTTGTTTTTACTTATCTATCGTAGGAGCACCCACAATGAGCTGCCAAAAAAGAATTTTATTTTTGGACGAATATATAGATATAAAAGAAGGCTAAAAACATCCTGACATGTATAATATGATGGGTGATAAATGAAAAGTCAAAAATCATGTCAGAAATTCTCACTGTAAATGATATTACACCTTACATACCAAGTAGATCATCATTATGAGTTCTAAGAACCATACCACATAAAATTAGGATATGTGGTTACCACTCTAGCAAAGATCACAAAGAAATCATTCAATAAAAACATCTTCAGGACAATATCAAGTATCAACCTACTTTTACTTATATTGGTGCTAAGGGACTTATATGCATAAATGCCATGAAATATGTACAGATATTAGTATGAATGTTAAGTATCTACCTCATAGGTAGTAGCACCAATAGAATGATTCATTCAATATTGAAAGATGATTTAAGACCCCAAATTGGTAGAGAGAGTGAGTAGTTCCCCAACAATCAAGAAAGAAAGCAACAAAAAGCTATAGGAGAGTCCAAAGTTTTAAATCCTAGCGTCTTTTATTAGGGTAAACCTCCAAAAGGTCAACCCCATCCATAAATACAAAACTGTGTTTCTGGAATGCATTTAAATGTGTCAAGTAGCGCGGATGAGATATATTTATTAGAGAAACTCAATGCACATTCAGGTCTATCAAGTTCTTCCCCTAACCATACAAATGGACCAGCCTATCCTACCCAATGAGAGTCTTCCGTATGGAATATGTTAGAAGTTACATGAGAACATTGAAAATGCAAAGCCTTAAAGGGGTATCTCAAAGATAATATCTTCCTTTAGTAAATTACCTCAACATTAACAAATAAGTAAATATATTTTGGTTTGATGCTCCTGAATTGAATTAAAGGCGGGCTTAGTAAGAACATTACTAACTGAACAAAAAGACTATGAGTAAAGAAGCAGAATTTCACTCTATAGTTCAGTTTTCTGTTTCATTCTACTGCTAATTGACATTCTCCAAAAAGACCTTGAAAGGAGAGTTTGCAGTCATTAAAGAATAAATAAATTTAGATGTAAACCTAGTGAGTAATAGAGTAAGACACGGAGATTAAACCTAGTCCGATACTTACTGCTCCGATTGATTCATAATCTGATAATCCAAACTTTGTACCTTGATTGACCAATCAAGCCCTTATTCAGTGTCAAGAACTTCATTGAGTTAGCTTCTAGGCATTACATTTGTACCCTGTCAAACAATATCTAAAGCAACCAAGATGAAGGTATGAAGCAATAAGATGAACTCTAATAGGAGAGAGATGCTTCTTCAAAAGTAACATAGCCAGTAAATGATAACTTTGAAGTATTTAGGACAATATAGATACCTACTGCTCCATCTTCAGCAATCCGAAGAAGGTTGTCACACCTCTGCTGTGAAGCATTTGCTCTCCACGACAATAGGTGGTTTTTGTACGGTCCGCATATTGGCCCAAAACTTCAATGATCGGAATCTTCAGTCTGTTAGGCGGGATTTTGCTTTTCTAGCTGCCAAACTGCCCCTCTATCTGATCGAAGAAGATTAGTTTGTCAAAAGAATCCCTAATCTATTCATATTAAGAACCACAATGTCTAGAAGCATGATTTCAGTCATATTTCCTAAAACATAAAAGATTTCAAACAGCCCATTGATACATCCTATTTCCTAAGTAACATCCAAGAATAAGAGTGTATTTGCTGAATTCCAGATGTAAAAGTTAAGAACCACAGCGTCTAATAGCATGATTTGAGTCCTATTTCCTAAGAAATAAAGGACAATTCAGGGTCAGCTTATCACCATGTAATGTTTCAGTTTTGGTGTAATACATTCAAACACCATCAAAGATCTCCTAATAACAATGCTTATATATGTTAATCCTAGATTAATTAAAATACATTTGATGTTCAACTATACTCACATGTGGTTTACATGACCTAAAAGAGTTCAAACAGCTAATTAAAGAATGAACATCCTACTCAAATATAAAAGAGTTCAAACAGCCCATTGAAATATCCTATTTCTTAAGAAACATCCAAGAATGAGTGTGTATTTGCTGAGTTCTAAATGTTAAGGTTAAGAACCACAGTGTCTAGAAGCATAATTTCAGTCATATTTCCTAAGAAATATAATTTCAGAGTCAGCTTATCACCAAGTAATGTTTTGGGATGATTTCAGTTCCTTTTTTAATATAATACGTTCAAACATCATCAAAGATCTCTTAACATAGTACTTCTAGATGTTAATTCCTGATTTATTAAAACACATTTGATATCTAACTATACTCACATGTAGCTTACATGACCTAAAAGAGTTCGAACAGCCCATTAAAAAGTAAACATTCTTTTAAAACATAAGAAAGTTCAAACAGCCCACTGAAACATCCTATTTCCTAAGAAACATCCAAGAATGAGAGTGTATTTGCTGAATTCTAGGCATAAAGCTTAAGAATCACGGCATCTAGAAGCTAGATTTCAGTCCTGTTTCCTAAGAAATAAATGACCAATCAAGGTCAGCTTATGACCAAGTGAAAATTACCTGGAAAATTCCCTTGACAATCTCAATGTACGGTCCCTTCTTGGAAGATCCTCCAGTGAACAGTACACCGTTAACTAAATTGAGTTTCTGTAAATTAATCATTATTTAACAGAGGAAAAGCCCCAAAATTTGCAGAGACCGAAACATTAATGCATCAACATCGAGAAATTACCGTTCGGTTAAAAGGCAGATTCCAATTTCTCACTTCGTCTTCACTGATAGAAGAGAGTCGTGACACTAAGGAAGTCGAAATTCATTTGGTATAGCAAAGAGAACAGCCGGTTTAGCTCTGCGAGTGTGTTCATAGACGTTCCGAGTGCGAGACTGCTAGAGTGTATTCGGAATAATAGGATGTGCAGCGCATTTACAAAAATGCCCCAGACATGAGCGGGAAAATGACTTAAGTGAGTTAATATATACTAGTATCTCACCCGTGCGTTGCACGGCATGTAATTTATAGACATTATAAATGTGGATATATAAAGCTTTTGCCAAATTGTATATAGAAATAAAAGATACGAAGTACTGTAAGTTATAGAATGAGCGTGTAAAATCATAAATAATACTACGTACTACGTATTAAGAATAGGCAACGCCTAATAGTAATGAATATTAGAAGTTTAAATACTATGCAAATTACAAATTATGGAAAATCTCTTTGCAGATCACGTTTTTGCGGTTTTTTAATCTTCCTTCATCGTTGCATATTAAAACCATTCATGATTTTCATTAGAATTTTAAGTATTTATAATCAACACTTTATATAAATATTAAGAAATCCACATGAAATACAAACACAAATAAATACAAAAGAATATATTTGAGTCCAAATTTATGCATTTACATACCCATAACTGTAATTGACTACCCGTACGGACTCTGATTATGAAATCGATCCCAGCTCTATTATGATTCCTACCTATAATGGAATGATAGTGCTTCCCCTTAAGGCCAGAACCGGCTAATATGTTGAAGTTTGCTCTTTCTATCTGCGCTCTTTATGATTAGGAGTGTAGTCAGATCAAGCATTGGAAATTCGCTTAATAAATTGGAAAAATAAAGCATGGTGATGATACAGTGGACATTAGCCGAATAGAATTCCTAGAATTCTTAACATATCAGCCAAATAAATAAAATTCGTTAATTGAGATGTTTTACCTGAATTTATATGAAGCAGGAAGAAATGCAAGAAATGTTAGCCACCGATGATATGAAATTCAGAGATATTTTAAAGGCATCAACATGCAGTTTCATTACACATACGCTCATCAGAAACATTTCGATTCTTACACCTTGCTTGTTCTCATTTTTCAGTGACACCAATGAGAGTACACCAATGAGCAATGATATCATATACTCACCTGGTCTTTTTGTCCTTCTAGAGTTTGATCTGGCAAGTTCAATATGCAAAGTGGATCATGTTTGAGGACCAAACTTCACACCCTGTAAATATAGACCACATGACATGAACACATACATGTTGGAATAAATACGCCAGTAATTGTAAATATGCAATCTCAACAAACAGTAAAAATTACAATTGCATCTGTACCAGACACAAATCAAACCGGAGAGGTGCCAAGATATGAATTCTAATAAGGTTTCATACCCCCAAGGGCCCAATGGTTTTTAAAATTGGATTCTCATTAGTGTATCTTTTGGACCAAATACCCTTAATAAAATCAATTCAAGTTAGTATAACTGTATAACCTATCCTCCTCTGTTGTCTTCTTTCACTCCTCTCTATCCTAGTTTTTTCCCTCTCACTAATGTGGTTTTTAAATAACCTTCTCCGAGTTTTTATAAAGCTTGCTCAGGTGAACCTCATGTTCTTTTCATCATTTTTTCAGAATCACATTACAATACATTTCTATCGAACACTTCATTACTTCAATATGATCTCTTTTAAACATAGCAAGATCAATGTCAAGCACTCTTGGATTAATCAATCCTTGGTTCTTTACAATACAAATACAAATTACAATAACTGTTTTTCCACATCTTGGAGTGGAAAAGCTTCAACGCCTTGGTTTGGTATTTTGATACGTACACATACAAATAATGCAAACGGAGTACAAAACAACTTACTGGGTTTGTGTGTGCGTGTGTTTGGATACATACATATGTGTGTATACTCAAATATACATATTGAGACTATGATATTTGGATACCTTGAGTGCAGATAGTTTCTTGAATAGCAGGTGAATCCTAAAACAGAAGGAACAGTTGTTTTTGGAGCTTGAAGACTACCTGAATCGTCTCATTTCCCTATTGCTATGGATGGAACAATGTACTTCGTACTATTAGTTGAATCTTATAAGGAGTGGACTATGGTTATACCTGTCAAGTTCAAAGAATTGAGACCGTATCTTGACACCAGAAGCCCCTGTCCGTATTCTTCTTCTTGAAGTAGGAAGCCGCAGAGCCAGATCCCAGAGACGCAGAGGCTGTCAGTTCACTACTCACCTCGCCGGCCTAGCCTCCTCCTCGGAACAACCTCCACTCGATTTTGCTGGTTTCCCTCCGCCCCGTTAATTTTCGCGGCCACAGTTGCTGAAAAGGAAAATCGATTGTAGAGGTACCTGGTGGCGAGCAGTCTCAGTCGGCCTGTGCAGTAGCCACCGTCTCTGGCCGTAGTGGATGCGACACTGCTTTGCCTCCTAGATGTCGGATGCTTTGAAGGTCTTTGCCTTTGCCTGCTCCACGCCCAATGCTAAGAGTCTTTACGGGTGACTGAGAATGACAACACTCTGACAATCAATTAAATGAACATTACATAATTAGAAAATGACCTTTGATATATGGACCAACGGATCCTTTGACCAATGATGTGACATTTTTGAGCGGGAAATTTGCCATAAAATCCACCTCTTTTTATATAGAGGTAGATATAGATATAGATGTCTATGTAGCACATAAACTCTCGGGAAGAGCGTTTGTGTTTCCGAAGCTTACGGAAACTCTTTGAAAACTTTTCAAACAAGCCTTTTTTGAGCAAAAATTGACGTTTCTTGTTTCTCATTTCCTCATGGTTTTCCCGTTTGCGTGCAACATAGTTAATTGTTGTATTCTTATCAAGTGTAAATGCGTAATTTGCTTCCCTTGAGCTCAATTGCATGATTTGTTGAACAAGAGGGTAAGATATTAATGGTTAGGGTGAAAGACCTCATAGAAATTTTACATTTATGAAAATATATCAGTGTAGCAAAACATTAATGGTTATTGCACAAATTGATTTACAGATACACCAAATGGTTGGTTTTGCACACTAAATACTTCACAAATTTGTGTTACTCTGTTTGAAGTTTCCTCAGTATTAATTAAATTAAGATATACTTGAGTGACCCAAATTGACACATTGATATCAGGTACGAATCACAAAGTTAAAAATTCAGATATTGAACTTTATTTTTTCGATCCCAGAATAAATCATAATACTTAAAGTCTTAAACAGATCAAACTAGACTTTGACAATTACAAAATACACATATACTAGACATCTATCATGCCAGAATAGACCAATTCAAACAAGACCATATCACACTTGAAATTTCAATCCAATTGAAAACCCCCTAAGTTTCGAAAATGACATTATATTTTCAAAATAGTAATTTAAAATCAAAGTATAGGTGAATATCTTAATTTGAACTGTTAATATTAGGCCTGGACTCGGGCCGGGCGGCCCGGCCCGGCCACTGTAGCAACCGGCCCGGCCCGGTGGCCCGGTCCACCGGCGGTTCGGGTCGAACCGGCCCGGTGGTTCCCAGTTCCGGGCCCGGGCCTTCGAAATGGTGAACCGGCCCGGCCGGTTCGGACCCGGTCCGGGCCGGATTTTAATTTTTTTTTTTTTTTTGAAATTTTTTTAAAGTTTTGGGTTGGAATAGGTATTTTGGGCCATTTGAGGTGGTTTGGGGTGGTTTGGGGTTGAGGGGGAGGGGTAGGGGATTAAATAGGAGAACAAAAAAAAAAAAAAAAATAAGTGGGCCGGTTCGGCCCGGCCCGGTTTGGCCCGGAACCGGGACCCATTCCCAACCTTGCCCAATGGACCCATTCCCTCTCCCCAACATTGATCAGTTGGTGGATGAGACGGCGGGGTGCGAGTTGATGTCGTTCCTCGACGCGTTCAGAGGGTACCACCAGATATCCATGCATGAAGATGACGCGGAGAAGACTGCTTTCATGACCCCGGAGGGAATTTTTTGCTACCTCGTCATGGCCTTTGGGCTCAAGAACTCCGGCGCCACCTACACAAGGATGGTAGCCCGGATTTTTAGAGCAGTCTTAGGTCGGACGATGGAAGCATACGTCGACGATATGATCGTCAAGAGCAAACAATCCACAACCCATGCCGACGACCTCCGGGGCATCTTCGAGATCATGAAGAGATACAACCTCCGGCTCAACCCAAAGAAGTGCACCTTCGGCGTCCAGGGAGGTAAATTCCTGGGGTACCTGGTCAGTCGAAGGGGCATCGAGGTGAACCCGGAGAAAATACAAGCCATTATCAACATGGAGCCACCCCGCAACATAAAGGAGGTACAACGACTGACGGGACGCCTCGCGGCCCTGAACCGTTTCCTCTCAAAATCCGCGGAGAAGTCGCTCCCCTTCTTCCAGATAATGAGGAAGGCCACCAGCTTCAAATGGACGACGGAGTGTCAGCAAGCCTTTGAGGAGCTGAAACAATATCTCGCCTCCCCGCCCGTCCTATCCAAGCCCCAACCCGGCGAGACTCTCTTCCTTTACTTGGGAGTAAGCACGTCGGCCGTCAGCTCTGTACTCATCAGGGAGGATGACGGGGTACAGAAGGCAATATTCTACGTCAGTAAGACGCTGCGGGAGGCCGAGCTCAGGTACTCCCCCATTGAGAAGACGGTCCTGGCCATCGTCCACACGGTGAAGAAGCTGGGCCACTATTTCCAAGCTCACCTCGTCCACATCCTCACGCATCAGCCGTTGGGCGCCCTCATGAGGAGCCCGACCAGCTCTCCAAGGATGATCAAATGGGCAATATTCCTGAGCCAGTACCAGATTGAGATCAAACCGAGGCCATCTATCAAAGGGCAAGCCTTGGCTGACTTTGTCACGGAATGCACAGCGAGGGAGACGGCCGTCACCACCACCGGCCGTGAACCAGATGAAGCCTGGACCCTCTTCACGGATGGGTCATCGGCCAACAAGGCATGCGGGGGGTGGCGTCGTCCTCATCTCACCAGAAGGATTCAGAGCGTACTACGCCATCCGCTTCAACTTCAAGGTATCCAACAATGAGGCTGAGTATGAAGCGCTCCTCAGCGGACTAAGACTAGCCGCTGGCCTTAAAGCACGCCACGTCAGAATCAAATGCGACTCCAAACTCGTAGTGAGCCAGATGGAGGGTTCCTACGAGGCCAAAGAAGGGAGGATGAAGCAATACAAGGAGGCCGCTGCGGAATTGCTCAAGGCGTTCGATACCTACGAGATCACTCAGATCCCAAGGGCGGAGAACGCCGAGGCCGACATACTCTCCAAACTCAGCTCCGACACCCCTGAGCACATCTCCAAGATAGCGAAGGTGGAGGAGTTGAGCATGTCAAGCATTCACGCCAGCCCCATACTCTCCATACAACACCAGCCGGAGGATTGGATCACCGACATCGCAACCTACATCACCTCCGGCACATTACCCGAAGACGAGGAGAGGGCCAAACTAGCCAAGCTCAGGGCTCCAAGCTATGTCATTGAGGATGACAAGCTCTACAAGAGATCATACAACGGCACCCTCCTCCGGTGCCTACACCAGAATGAGGTCGAAGTGGCCATGGAAGAAGTCCACTGCGGCGTATGCTCATCACATCAAGGGCCCTTCAGCATGTCGCGCCGACTCGTCGTCCAAGGCTACTTCTGGCCGACGATGGCGCGTGATTGTGCTGAGGTCGCCCGCAAATGCAGCGCATGCCAACACTACCAAAGGGCACCTGGTCGGCCGGCCGTCAATTACGCCCCGGTCAGCACTGCCATCCCATTCTCCAGATGGGGCATCGACCTCGTCGGCCCTCTACCAAGAGCTGCGGGCAACAACAGATACATCATCGTCGCCATCGACTACTTCACCAAATGGGTCGAGGCCGAACCACTCGCAAGCATCACCGGAGCGCGGTGTCGAAAGTTCGTCTACAAGAACATCCTCACCCGCTTCGGCGTGCCTCAGGAGATCATATCAGACAACGGCACCCAGTTTGAGGCCGAACCATTCCAAAGCCTCCTCCAAGAATGGGGTATCAAGCACCGTTTCTCCTCCGTTGCCTACCCTCAGGCCAACGGGCAAGTTGAGAACGCCAACAGAACCATCTTAGAGGGGCTGAAGAAGAAACTCGAAGAAGAAGGCGGAAGTTGGGTCGACGAGCTCCCCAACGTCCTATGGTCCTACCGCACTACGCCAAGGAGGGCCACCGGGGAGACACCATTCTCCTTGTGCTACGGCTTCGAAGCCAAGGCTCCCACAGAAGTCACCCTCCCCAGCCGACGGGTCACACAATACGACCCCGAAGCCAATGAAGAAGCCATGAAGATTGACTTGCACCTCATTGATGAAAGGCGGGAGATGGCTTACCTTCGGGCAGAGAACTACAGACGACAAGTCAAATCCTACTACGACGCCAAAGTCCGCTCTCGCGAATTCCAGGTAGGGGACTACGTCCTCCGCCGAAGGGAAGCAAGCAAGCCGACGGAAGGAGGAAAGCTCGCCGTCAAATATGAAGGGCCCTACATCGTCAGCGCCGTCATCAAAGCCGGCACTTATAAACTAAAGAACCCTAATGGGTCAGATGTACCACGATTGTGGAATGTACACCACCTGGTGAAATTTTACCAATGACTCGAGAAGCGGTGAAGCGGGCAACGTCCCCCACCCCTCGGCTGATTGGTTGAATAAAACACCCTCGGCCTAGCGCCACTTATTGAATAAAATTCATGTTTCATCCAATCTCTTAAGATTTGAGCAAAGGGAAACCCAAGGACCGCATCGGCCTAAGTGGTGCAATAACCCGGGTCCGATGCGACCTAAAGACCGTCGCAATAAACGACGCACCTAAAGCCGTTGCAATAAACAACGCACCTAAAGCCGTCGCAATAAACGACGCACCTAAAGCCGTCGCAATAAACGACGCACCTAAAGCCGTTGCAATAAACAACGCACCTAAGGCCGTTGCGATCCACAGCGCGCCTACAAAGCCGTTGCATAGACAAACGCACCTAAATATCGTATCGGCACAAGCGGTGAAACACCCAAATCGGCCGGCGATATGCAGGACGAAGGACCTGTGTGCATGGTCCAACGTCTTCAAACGGAGAAGCATACCGCGTCGTCCGCGCGGAAACCGCAGGACGACAGGCCTGAATTAAGGCTGAGGTTACAAAAACTCCACCCGTCAGTAAAATTTCGCTCAGGACCACAAAGGGCGGCCGTCAAAAGACGATGCCTTGTCCGGTCCCTCGTCGACGATAGACGTGGAAAGGCCAAAAAAGGAAGCCACTGACACCAAGCCGAGGGCGTATTTACTCCCTCGCACTAATCCACGCGGAAAAGCGTAGCGGACATACTACCACACATGGACGAAGGAACAGTAACCCTTCGGCCAATCAAAAAAAAAAAAAAAAAAAAAAAAAAAAAAAAAAGGGAAGCCGACGGACCGCGCACTCGCCGGCCTTGAGCAAAAAATAGAATCCCCACAAAAACCAGCCTCAAAATTGGTTAAGTACATATCAGGTT